GCGACCATTGTCACCCGAGACAGCAACTCCGGGTTTTGCACGCAATAGAACCCTCATTCGGGTACCTCCCACTTTTACGCGCCTGTTCTAATATTCTTCCTTGGGGATTCAAACAGGGCGTAATCAGAAAGTAACATCTCAGCTTGTCACCGCTGCAACACCTTTTACTTTGCCTTCAATTTATGTCATATGTACTTTCCCCGAGGCCGTTCCATAAAATGAGCTTGTTTCTCATTTTATCCTCGGTGCTTGATAAATGTTTTTCGCCACAGTCAAAATATTGCGTGTTTCGATCGAGAGGCCGACTCGGTTTAGTCAGTAAACATACATCTTTCACAGAGCGAGAGAGGGGAGTAGTCTGTTTCGCCATCTCTGCTGGTTTACTAATTAGTGTACGGTTTTCTTACTGTACGCTTGCCTTCGCCTTGCTCTCCTGCTGTTTTTTTTTTAAATTTAATCCTTTGTATGGTCAAGTTTCAGCCTCTCACCTAAATAAACGTATTGTTTTGTTCTTGGGTAGGATCTCCTGGTGACAAAGATTATATACGGCTGAATGAGAGTTTGGAGTTACTAATCCTTGAGTTGGACGGCATTGGCGTTGACGGTCAGGAAGATTTGCGCAGTGCTCGTCGCGCAGCCGTCCGCGAACTCCAGCAAGTTCTTGAAATGCTGGAGTTTCGAGGCTCCATGTCCGGAGATGCTGGCGGCACCAGCCACAGCAAAGACAACAACAACAGTGACGAGAACAAGGCCGAGGTGCAAGCCGACAGGACCGAGAACGAGGACGGTGAAGGCGCGTCTAAGGAGCAGGCATAGCCTTGGCCGTTTCTGCCCTCCTCCGCCACACCATCTTTTCACGCTCGGATGCGTGCCTTCTCCCTACTTTTCTCCCTCCCTCCTTACCCTTATTTCCTATCCACGAGGGCCAGCCTGGTTTGAGTTCTCCGTTTCAGCACACGCAAACTTTGTCCCGGAGGGCCATTTGTCTTCTAAACGTCCGACGATCTCTCTCTCTCTCCGGCTGATTCCGTTTGGCCCTGTCTTTCATGGCGAAGTAATGAACGGCATTGAGTTGTGCGTGCGTGCGTGTCCACACGAACGTACTCGTCACTGTGATGATTAGATGGACCTGTTTTATTGCTTTCTGCGCCTTACGGTT